AATATATATATATATTATATGGTAATATTAAATGGAAAAATGCATAGATATAGTTTTGTTAAGTTTATTTTGTACATTTGCAATTAGAACATTTTATTGCTATTTAATTTTAGCAAGAAAAATTCAAGATGCTTTATTGAAAAGAAGGTTAACTTGTTTTTTGTAAAACATCAAATGCTTTTTTTTTAGTTAGAATGCTATGTTAGTACTAAATCTTTTTTCATTTAAAAAAAATACAAGCTATATAAATCTATAATAAAACACATTTTTTTGTTTATATCGTATGACTTTAAAATGCAGTCATTAAAAAAAAAATGCTAGACCCTTGATTTTTGTCCTGTTCTTCAGGTAATATGACTTTAGTACAAATAATTGAGGAATATAATATTAGGATGGTCTATAACATTTTCCCCAAGACTTTATAGAATTGAATACATTTCTATTTGAATGCAAACGTTTTCTTCTTTTTCAGCGAGTCATATAAGGTTCGGAGCAGAACATTTGTGACAAATTTATTATTCCTTCAGTGTAGCTGAAGTTTAAATGTCTGTATTTTGAAGCACTCAGAGATTAAGAGTTTCCCCTGACATTGGCCTCCTCGGAGCAAGTTGTCTGGTTCTGATAAGAGGTTTGGGGGAGTTGCAATCATCATGTTGGCACCTTATCTTTACAGCCATTTAAAGGGTAGTTTCTTCTCTTGGCTCTTTAACACACTTCAGGACACGTGGATTTTAAATGCTTCTGCATGGTTAGTTTGTTTTTGTTTTTTCCAGTAATACTGTCATGCTTTGGTCATGGAAAATACTTTAGACTCAGGAGCTTAGTGCCTTAAGAGAGTTCATAAAAGTTGCAAGTTAATACAAGTTTGAAAATAAGTACACATTTGATGTTTTTTTTTTTTTTTTTTGCATGAAACTGTGTTTATATTGATATCTTATTTCTAATGAGTTGTGTATTTGATTAAGAGGAATATCTTCAATAACAATCTTATTCCATAAAAAATACAAACTGCAAATATTGTTTTAAAATATTTGTAGGAAAAGAATTGACTTTTTTCCTTTTTTTAACCATTTAAAATAGAAATAAAAAAGGTGTGGCAGTTCCAGCCCCCGCTAAGTAAACAGACTGAATTGAAAACATCTGTAAACGTCAATTTTAACAGTTGTTCAAGATTTACAGATTGATTTATGTCTCCCATTTGACTGTGTGTTTTAAAATACATCAGTATTTTTGATCACTATGTTTTGCTGCTTAAAGATTAACCTTCAGCTCAATCGAAAATCTTTTGATTGATTCAAATCCATCAACCTTTCCACTACCGTTGACTACTTTCCACATGCCTGTAGAAAAAATAATAATTTCCACATTATAACTCTAAATCAAACCTAACGTAATGTTTAAACACAGTTTTATGGATTTCGGCTAAAAACCTTTGGTTCTCATTTCACCAGACTCCTTTGCCTACTTGTTTATTGTCATCCTTAATTGCATTTTTGGCAAACTGCATAGAGGATTTTGGATTACTCCTTCATAAATGCCAACTTTGTTGCTTACATTTGTAACAGTTGTTCATTCAACATGTTTTCCCATCGTAGGAATCAATCTCTGCTGCTCCTGTGGGGTTAACATCAACCCATTATTGAATAAAGCACCCCTTGCCTAGCTGGTAACTTTTCAAGGTCTACAAAGAGTTAGCAGCTTTGCATTTCCCCTGCTCTTTTCATTTTTGGATAATTATTAAACAAAGCTTTGAAAAATGGTCAAAGCTTGGAAAGCATCTTAATAAACAAGTCCTTAATCAATATACTCACTAATATTCTCTTAAAAATCCTTGTGGTCAGTCAGAAATCTGATGAAACCAGAGTAAGAACACATCATAGCACACGGTTGGCATTCTTTTACTAAGAAGCTTAATTCAGAAGAAATTTGAGGTCATCAGATTTTATTCAGGGGGCGATCAGAGTAAATGGGGGCTCTTGAATAATGTAAAAATCCAAAAATACTGTTAGGTTGTTGAACAAAGTCTAGGAGTAATCCTTTGTGCATTTAAAACACCTAAAACTCACCCTTAAAGTAACTGGTTTCACACTGATTCCTCTACTTTTCACAGGAATTATCCTAATAGTAGATCAGCAGGTAACTTTACGAGGACGCAGTTAATCTTTCTCCTCAAAAGCAATCAGTCAGGGGGGAGGTACTATGTGATCTTACATTCAGACTGCATGCTGCTCACCTGAGCCTGCAATGATCCGTGCCAGTAGGGGAATTGCTTGGGCCTGATGCCTGAAACTGGATTATGGGTCTTGGATGTTAGAGAAAGGGGACTTAGACAGAAATACACTGACACCTGTCCGCAAATACTCTGAAGACGCAAGTGCATGGGGAAATGAGATTACACAGAACGGCTGCTTTCCCCCACTCTGTAAGGGGATAAAACTCATCACTATCCAAGGGATTCTAAGGAAGTAGAACATGTGCTGCAAATTTCTTTCTAAGTGTGTGAGTAATTCCACTTTTTTACTGCTCTTCCCTGAAGCTAAATTATTTTTGTTTTTTTCAGATATCTGTTTCAGTGAGATCTGCACTAGTATCTGTAATATTGGTTGACTGAGACTTTCTGCCTCAGAACCATGGAGAAAGGAGAGGAAGATCAAAATAAGGAGGCAGGGACCCAGAAAGAGGATAAGGATTCAGAGCCAAAAATCAAGTTATTGTCACTTGAAAGTTCCGACTTCGACAGTCTGTTCAAGGACACGTCAGAGTTTGATGAGGCCGCAGATCGTCTGGAGCAGGTGCTGAAGGGCATGGAGACCCTACTGACAGACGTGGAAGACCTCAGGAGCCAGTGCAGCTATCAGGCCTCAGAGCTGATGCAAGCTGCGGCGGAGCTGAAGCAGCAGCAGGAGGACCTGAAGGAGAGCTATGCAGAAATGGCTCAGGAAATGCAGGACATAGTGAACTCAGTGGAAGAACTGTTCAGCACCAAGAGTGCCTTTGAAGCCAAGGAGAAGGAATTGCAGAAACTGAACCGGCAGTTTTGAGATTGCGGAAGGGATAGACTTTGTTTTTAATTGTGTGCTGAATGCATTGTTTGGGGTGGTGATTTGGACTCTGACTGTGTGGGATGCTTTGTTTTGTTGTCTTTGATGTATGAAGTGAGGCTTATTTGATGTGAAGATTGTTTTTCTCTTTTTAGACTATATCTGACAATGACATGTGGAAATCCATATGTGTGTTATTTAAATCTATGTGAATAAACTTTATCTTGTGGCAATATGTTTATTGCATGCTAGACAAAACTTTAGTCATGTGTCTTTTGCATAAATATACTTCACTTTAGGAATAACATTTTAGGTTTTAGAGATATGAGATTAGAGTTTTATGTTTTTTAGCCAGAAAGATAAAAATACTGCCTTCTCTCTTGATATATGCTTCAGACTGCATCCCTGTGGTTTTTTTTACTAAAATAAACCAACTGAGCATCAAAACAGTGTTTTCCTCCCACCAGCTCCCATGCTGTGATTTAATGGACTGTGTTTAGTGGTTATGAGATGTGAAAAAGGGACAATCAGTGGCCAAAAGAACCTGCTTTGAAAAAAAAAAGAAAGTTAAGGAATACATAAGTGGGAAGCAATGGAAAATTTTAGGCTATATTTAACTTTATATATTTTGGAATATTTTTTATGGAATAGTCTATTAATTGCTACTTAATCTGCAACAAATACACGTTAAATGTTTAGTGTAATAAGGTTATTGGGCTCTTCCAAAACTGTCTGATTCAGTGTGTAGAATATTATTACATTTAATGTCTACATTTTTGCAAAAAATAAAAAAAAGATTAAAAAATAATAATAATATAGAGATACAATTGTAATGTTTTTAAATATCCTTATCTAACATTGTGGAAATTATTTTCCCTTTACAGATTTCAGAGTTACTGATGAAAGTTTTAAAGTTTAATTTGGAAAAAAACTTAGAATAACATATATGTATGCCCCTTAAACCAAAAAACATATTTCACCACTACTGGAGGCAACAACAACCATCAAACATTTGCAATAAATGGCTAGATGTATTTCAGATGACTGTCAACTAATTTTGGTAAAGTCTTTTTTGCTGCATTGTTTTTAAGCAGCCAGATAGGAGGACTACCATGAGGAGCCTGTTTAAGAAGTTGCCATATATGTTGTTATAGGTGGGCTTCATTTTATCATCTTCTGTGTCACCCAGGTTTGCTTGATTAAGTCTTGATCTAACATTCGCCTTCAAGGTTGTTGGGTTGAGAGCAGAATCAATGGCTGCATTAAATAACAGAGATTATCCAGGTCTTCAGAAGAAATTCTTTTTCTAAAGGGCTGTGTAATTTTGTCATGATGGAAATGTGAGACCAGGTTTGGATCCTGTTAAATTAGCAGAGCATTTGAACTTATATATGTCTATCTCAGATTTATTACTTTCTGTTTCAATCAAGAAGTTCAATTGTTTTAGATTTAATTTTCACTTTGACTATCCTTGATTTTACAAATAAAAAAAATTCTTTTGGTTTAAAGGTGTATGCAGGCTTATAAATAGGGTGGACATTGTTGTTTTTTTTACAGCATAGAAATTGTTTAAAAGCTAGGCTAAAAAAAGAAAAGAAAAAAAAGGTTCTTGCTGCTTGCATGGTTGAAACCTGACACATTCTGGGGCTGCGGTTTTGGCAAGCAGATCGGATGAGAAGATAGAAATCAGTGCATCTGTCCATTTTTTCCTCTTGTAGATCCACGTTCTCCTGCAGAACTGATCTACCAGCCGGAGAGCCCCTTAAAAACGGTAGGACAGCTTTAACATTAACTCAATTTTTTTTTTATGATCTCTTGCAAAAATGTTTGTTATCTAGCATCACCAAAGAAATGCCTTCTGGGGCTTTATTAAAGCTAAGATGAAGTAAATATACAGTAACAAAATAATTGTTTATGCTTGAGATGTAAATAATTTTGCTGTAATATTTTTTTTATTAGCTACTTTTATTAGTAGATTAGGTAAGGTGTCTGTTGACCATGAAAATCCTGCAAATCCTTGGTCTCCTGCAGCTGCTTTCTCCTGCTCTTACAGTAAGTGGTAGCTAGTATTTTTGATTCCATTATATGCTCCTTACATAGTTTATGGTAAAATTAATAAAAATAAAACTTATATGTATATTTCAAACACAGTAGTATGTGTAGTTGTTTCATGTACGGTATATGTGTCAGCTATTTTGATATTCTACAAGACAGGACTGTTTCGTAAATTGTTGAATTTTGTATTAACACGCAACTGTAGAGAAAAGACATGCTGACACATGCCATGGAAAAGGCCTCTTGCAAAAAAATAATACAACAAAATTTTATCTTACAGAATATATCTAAATTGTATAAAGAGCTTTTAAAGTAAATTTTAAAATAAAAAATACACCTTTACTGTTATCAGAGTTGTGAGTATATATGTTTATTATGCTTCATTCAGGGGTTGGGTTGTGTCTCAAGTTCGTGTGACTATTTTAGTCCTACAGTATTGTGACCCCACATTGAAGATTGATGGTTTGCGGCGGATAGGGTTTGGTGCAGGGGAAGCAGCAATTTGTTCCTTTTTGTTCCAGAGGCAACAAAAAGAGTTTTTTGGGGGTTTTTTTTTAATCTAACTGCATTTCCATTTTAATTTCTGTGCTTATTTTGAAAGCTGACACAGCCAGTAAATGACTACTGGGGAGAGTTTGGGGCATATGGCCCCTGCAGCCGTACCTGCGGCACCGGAGTGGCAATGAGAATTAGGAGATGTATTACTTCAAGGTAGGACATGTAAAGCATTTCAGTGAATATAATATAATATAATATAATATAATATAATATAATATAATATAATATAATATAATATAATATAATATAAT